CATGCCGCGCGTGCGTGTAACTGCAAGTGAATACATCCCCGTTACAACCTTTAAAGTGGAAACACTATGAAGCAATGGAAATGTATCTTCGAACCTGTTGATTGAATTTCTACTAAATTTTGTAGTGTGGATCTATACTATTCGTGCAATCGAAGTTCGACTCGCATTGGTCTAACGTGGTCACCATGTTTCGTGAAGGGAACATAAGTCTCGGCGACTGGGAAATTATTGGTAACATTTGATTTCACTGATCCATAAAAACGATATTCCACAGCTACGAAATAAGGACTCTTCCGTGGTCCCGATAGGATGATCGCGTCTCTCCACTGTGAGTTTCAAAACACGCACACACATATACATATGTATGTATATAAGGTAAAAGGTGCAGTTGTCAATCTCTTTAATTAAAGAAAATACCGTGATAACGTGGAATCAGGATAGCGCAGTCGGTATAGCCACTGACTACGGGCTGGACGACCGAGAGGTTGCCGTTCGAGTCCCGATAGGATCAAGAATTTTCTCTTCTCCACGCTGTCCAGACCGGTACTGGGGACTCTGTCCACGAGGGTAATGCGGCCTGGGCTTGAAGCTAACCATTCACCTCCAAAGAGTACCGAGGTCAAGAAAAAGTGGATCTATACATCCACTTCCCCATACGTCTTCATGGCGTAGTGCTTAATTATTTAAGCACAGGGACAGCTTTATCTTCTTCACCTTTACCATGACGATGTATGGCAGAGTGGAGCTATAACTCAGTGAGTTCTTAACCTGGGGACTAGACTGAAGTGAAGAGTCAGCTTCGCGCTCCGGTCGCTTTACTCTCGAGGAAAGAACCCACAGTACCCACGGTAATGGAGCCGAATGTGGATATTGTGGAGAAGGGAAAATTTTCTTGCTTCCGTTGGGAATCGAACGACCGACTTCTCTGTAGCCCAGCCCAGATCCCAGACAATACATGGAGTAAGCTCATGCAGCTCCCCATATACGTATATGGATAGCATTAGAATTTGGGCACATTGATCCTGTATATTATTTCTTTTCAAAGTTCGCACTGCACTGTGACCACTTTGATGAACCGCAGGGAAAGGAAGACACTTCAAATTACCAGCATATCGAATGTCAGAAGAAAGTTCTCACTATGTAAATGATGACGAAAGAGGACGACAGGATGGAATAAACTGAAATACACGTTGGGAAACAAAGAAACACTACATATCCCTACAGATCAGAGCAAAATGACAAATATAACGCTACGTACTGCAGCTGTAGTTCAATATATTTCTGTAAGTACGGAAGTTCACATATTCATTCAAATTATAATTCTTTTTATTTTACTATAGGTAATTATATGTGTAGTAGTGGCCGATCAGAGTAACCGCATCTAAGGCATCAACTGTCCTAGCTCGCTCGCTCGAACACTGGGATCGTGGGTTCGAATCTCACTCAGGGCATGGATGTTTGACGTGTGAATGTGTTTATTCAACGTTTGTGTTGTCCTCTGTTTAGGTAACGGTCTCGTGACGGGCTGTTCACATGCTCAAGGAGTCCTACCGTCTGTATAAAAAAAAATTATGGAAGTGAATAAAAGGCCTGAGCCCTAAATGGGCTGGAAGATCCATTGGATAAAAGAATTATAATTGTGAACACTCTGTTAATGCCCACGAAGGAACGTATACAAAAGTTTTACTTCTTGCTGGTGACTGTTAAGAAAGTGTTGTTTATCTTCCTAGCTTTCAGAGACTACAAACTCTCACGAGTTGGAATTTGCCATGTGCAGGCTTCCCTTGTAGCAGTTATTACTTGCTTCCCAGTCCGAATATATTTATACATGTGCGTTACTGTGAAACTGTTTCATAATTAACCACAACTTTCCATTTCAACTATTACAATATGTTTACACACCTGACGGCCATTACAGAGTTGTGACGTATTAGAAGTTCCTAACTATGTGTAAGTTTTGTTACCCATCTGGTCACCAAGCATGTCTGGAGGCTTTGGATGTAATCTTGTACTCAAACTATCCGTCAGAGTTATAATCCTGCACTTAGGGAAACACTTACAGATCTAGAGGATGTTAGAGGAAAAGCTGACAAACTAAGCGAAGGAAGCATATTCTAGGCTTTAGTGTAAGTTTATTGCAGTACTTTACCGTAAATTATAATTCGACAACTGATTTGGAATGTATGAATTTATATGTATCTTTAGCATATTTTTTTTAAGTAAACGAAATTATATGTTGTACAGAATTATTAGGCTTATTTTGGACTCTATCCATCGTCTAGTATAAAAGACAAAAACCAACAACGTTTCGGAGACTGGATCTGTCTCCGTCCTCAGGTGGATGGGGCAGGATAAACCTACTCAGTTGGGCCCGTTAGAAAGAAATCAAATGTTGTTAAGTCTGTCCGTCTGTGTCGGATACTGCAGCTCCTGATCACACCAATCGCATGGTTTTACTCCACCCTCCACAACGTATGTATCTCAACATACGAACAGTACGGGAACCGGATTGCTTATTGCTGTGTTAAAATTACGTGCCGTTACGTTCACCTGATTCATTCAATCATAAGAGGTTCTACAACCCTTTACTGGGCCCTGGGCTCTTCATCAGTTTCATAAACCTTTTTACACAGTCGGTAGGACACCTTGGGCAAGTGATAAGCCGGTCCCAAGGCCGCTACCTACACACAGGACAACACAAACAGAGATATCCATGCCTTGAGTAGGATTCGAACCCACGATCCCGGCGTTCGAGCGAGCGAAGACAGTTCATGCCTCAGGCTGCGCAGCCGCTGTGATCGGCTTAGTTAGGATCAAGCCGAGCTTTAAATAGAATGGTTTTGTGTAGAGCCAAATATGGTAACCTTCCAGCATACAAGCATTTTAGTTGCGTGAAATTTAATCACACCAAGTGCCATTAACGTAAGTACTGAATTAGTGTCTCGAGGCCGCTTTCTCTCAAAAGCCAATTGTATTAACTGTCTGGAGTCTATATGTACTTAGTCTATGTAGGGCATTGCTTGTTTTGTTGTCTGCCAGCGCGTCGTTACCTGTCGTTACGTTGTTTCAGTGGGAACCAAATGCAAACTAATCACAGTTAATTACGAAAAGAAGCGAAAGCGGGCAGCACCGGCTATTCCTTCATACAGTCAATACATAGCTTGAAGGCGATCATCAACATCGTCAATGGTTCTACAGCTCTTTGTTGGGCCTTGGCCGCTTTTTCAGTTTCGTAATCCTATAATAAGTCGGTAGGACTCCTTGGACGGCGGATCAGTCCGTCGCAGGACCTCTACCTATACACAGGACAACACAAACACTGAATAAAGATACACAGACATCCATGTCTCGAGTGGCATTCGAACCCATTTCTCCAGTGTTGAAGCGAGCGAAGATAGTTCATGCCTTAGACCTCGAGGCAACCGTGAATGGCTTTGATGTAGGCGGTACACTCCTTGGAAACGTCGGTGAACTTGTGCCAGACTACACGGAATCATATCGCATCATAGTGATCGCCATGAGTACTTCAAGTCTTAGAGTGAAAGAATGTTCTGTGGAAACCGCAGCTAGAATACCGTCGGGCCAGCAATATCCAGGTGTTGAGCATAGTCCTCGCCTAGCCTCTCCAGGTTAAAACACAGAAAATGTATGTTGTCCTCAAAATAGGCTCACATTTCACATTGCTACTCCACGATCATCGTTTGGAAATTCTGGAATACTCGCAATTTGTAGCCATTTCTGTGGTCACGTTCTTTCTTGCGAAGTCGACAACTGTTCGTGTAGCCAGGAAAATCCCTGCTTTCACAGTACTTCACCATGTTCACAAGTGGGTCATGCCTTGAGCCATTTTCAACAAATCAACCACCTCATACCCTATTTATCTATTTTAACATTTCCTTCTTTCTCAAATCGTATCTTTTCTTAAGGTTTTCGGGGAAAAATTGTTATAACAGAAATATGTAACTTCTCTTTCCAAACACCCAACTGGCCTGCCCTTCCAAAGTGATCACTTTTTCTTTATTGCTAGTGGGGTTGGACTAAGTCCCTTATACTGCGGCCATTTCTGGCCTATTGTACCAGCCCCAGATGATAGGTGAGGGTGATTGTGGAGCAATTGGTAGAATGAAGATTGGCAAAGGAAACCTAAGTACTCGGAGAAAACCTGCCCCAGCGCCACTTTGTCCACCACAAATCCCACTTGACCATATCTGGGATCAAACCCGGGCCTCCGCGATGGGAAGCCAGCGACTAACCGCTTGAGCTATGGCGCGGCCGTCAAGTCACTTCCCTAGATCTATCTCCCAGTCATCACTCTGTCCAATTGATTCCCAACATGGTGACAGAAATGTGGCGGCGCATGCGCGTAAACTGGGCATGAAAAAAAAACTTATAAGGTTTTCCTTTCCGAAGACTATCCGGGTACGTGTATGACAATTACTTTCCGAGATATATATATTTTTATTTTGGATAACTTCCATCTGGACACCCTATATTAGTTCTGGAAACAGATGCTCAAGACACTTGAGATTCAGTGGTCTGTTTCATCAGGCCTGTATGTCGGTGAACTAACGAAATATTTCACTTGACTTTCATAACAAACAAGTAGAGTGCATTTTACGCGTCTGTTCATGGTCTCACGCTCAGCTCCCTAAAATTAATTGAAATAATAATGAACTTTCATCCTGGAAAGTCGATCTCAGTGCATTACTACATTTAATTTAAGTCGATGGCAGATAATATAAATAAAATCGATATAATTATTAGAAGTTCCGTGAACCCAGTCTTACAAACTGCCAAATCTGGAAATTGATTTTTACATTTCAAATCAATAAAACTATTCTCAAATATATAAATAAATTGTTAAAATATAGTCTAGTCAATAAACAGGTGTAGAGCTATAGCGAGACAGAAATAGGGAGATAGTCACACAGATAGACAGCAAGTATACACAGTGACACAGATAGAAGCATAAATAAATAAATGATTCTGTAGTTACTTACGGCAACCAAATTCATCTGACAGATAGTTTCCATTCTGACAGTCATTTGTCTGATCACAGATGAATTCTGGGTGAATGCAGCGGTCTTTGTCTCTGTTCTGATTCGGTTCGATGCAGTTAAGCGTCACAGACGGGTTGCACAGATGGATGCCTACGAACACAGCAACACACTAACGTCACTGTCTCTTCGCCAAGAAGACTCTGTGACAGAAGATTTAAATTTGACCTATCGATTGAATTACGTCATGGAGCTGGAATGCTCACATCCACCAGCTCATCAAGAAATTGGCCGCTCTTTAATGTATCCGCCACTATACACGAACTGCCACTGGACTCTATGTTGGGCCGCTAAATCCACTCCATATTCTCACAGATCTACTTGTATTTCAATGTTGTGTTCCTTTATGTGCCTAAGTTTCCCATGTTGTCTTCTCCTGTCAGGTTTTTCCACAAATGTTATACGCATTCTCTCCTATACGTATGTGTGTACGTATGTACACGAATGTATGAATGTATGTATGTGTACATGTATTTCGTATGTATATGAAAAATAAGAGAGAAATTTAATATACTTAACCTATTTGATTTGTTTCATTCTGGTCCGTCACACTAATATTATGAAAAAGTTAAATAGTTCCGTTCAGTGTGACTGGTTAAGATTTTCTTATTTCAATTATTCATGCCCTTACATGTTTCGGTCTTCAGAGGCCACCTTTAGAGGGACACCTTTACATCAATACTGTTAGAGGCTACTATTACAGTACATGTTCTACATACAATATAAATAATATAGAATTGGCTGTAAAATTTAAAGTATTTACAACTACAGCGGCTGTTCCAATATTTTAAAATATTTATAGTTAGAATATAATTTTAACAAACTAACTATAAATATTTTAAAGTACTGGAACAGCCGCTGTAGTTGTAAAGACTTTAGATTTTACACCAAATTGTATTATTTATATTGTATGTATATATTTTAACTTTTAGAACATGTACTGTAATAGTGGTTTCTAATTGTATTGATGTAAAACGTGTCCCTCTGAAGATGGTCTTTGAAGACCGAAACATGTAAGGGCATGAATAATTGATATAAGAATATCATAACCAGTCACACTGAACGGAACTATTTAACTTTTTCATACTTAATCTACATGAAAAAATAAGGGAACATCAACACTTCCCACACACATCAAGAATGACTGAGGCTGCATACCGAAAAAGTTGCGAGTGTGAAGACAGAAAGGAGAATGTACTCTTTAAAGACAGAAGGATCAGTTCATTTAGAAAGAGGTTATTAGGCCCAACCTTGCTATTCCTACTCTTAATGATGATGATCAAATGACAGGAAAATGGAAACACGGCTTGATTAAAGAGAATCCAATTATTGTGTTCGTGAAAGACGGGCTAATTAAAATAATACATATGGTACAGAGAAAGGTCCTAGAAAAGGCGTAAAAATATATGCGTTATTCATACATATGAATATACGGAGTGAGAGAGCTACATTTACATACAGATATTCGTACAATGAATCAACATTTTCACACACACACAGGCAAAACTACTTGCCTAAGAAGTGGCGAAGGACCACATGTACCGGGGAATTAACATTAATAAAGAATTACGGAAGGCAGAAAATAGACTGAACTGCAAATACCTGGGAAGGTAATATTAAAATCGATTTTAGAGGGCAACGATGGGGGGTTATGGACTCGATTAATGTGGTTCAAAATATGGACCAATGAAGGGCTATTGTGAACACGGTAATGAAATTCCGGGTTCTATAAATTGTTGGAACATTTTCCAATATCTGAGTAACTAGTGGTTTTCAAGAAGGATTCAACTCTATTGTGTTGGTTAGATAGTTAGTTAGTTGGTTGTGGTAAATATCATCTCTTTGAGTAAGCCCTGGCACCATGGAGTAAGCTTTAACAGAGCTATGAATATTAGCGTCCATTTGTCTATAATCCGTCTAAATTGCAACACTTTTTATCTTACACTTCAATATAGTCTCTAACACTACATGTTTCGGCCTCAAACGGCCATCTTCAGGTGTTTTTTTAAAGATATTCAATTAAGATTGTGTCGAAATTGCTATACTGTTCCAATTCATTTTAAAAACCACACGCTGTAGTCTTTTTTTAATTAAAATTAGATAAAATTCTTTTATAATTTGTTACCTATTGTTTTGCTTCACTCAGGGTGTCGTCATAGCTTGTTCCTCGCGTCAGTTATTTTCTCCTGGTCTGTTTCCTCCCCAACGTGTGTGTTTTCTTCCTTACTAGTCTTTACTTTACTTCAGCACACTAATTAATGGGCTGGCAAAAGCTGCCTTTAATGTTAGCAATCCCTGTATTGTACAGGATGTTCGAGAACGCACCGTTGATGTTGGTGTAAAACAGGTCGCAATTGGTCTCGTCAGCGCACGGCTGGTGGAAGACGTTGCTTCCCGGAGTGGGTACGCAGTCGCACTGCGAGTCACACACGTTGGCTTGGCGGATACAGCGTCCGTTTGGGCACAGGAACTCGTGGACACCAGTGCAGTTCTGACCTGAGGCACAAATGCAAACTTATGCAGTGAATAGTGGTAACTCTGATACACACAAAACTTAATAGGAATGGAAAGGAAGGAAAGAAATGAAAGGTTAACGGGGATGACGATAAAAGAGAAATATGAGGAAAAAAACAGGAAGAAATAAATATTAAGGAAGGAATAATTTACATTTTTATTTATTTATGGTTTATTTCATGATGCTCTCAGTAACTCAGACTATACAGTATTGAATGGTACGATAATCAATGGTTACGATTTATAAGTCCGGCATTTGCCTGAAGAGTCTGAGGAAAACCATGACAAATCTCGGTATGGATAGCCAATGTGCCGGCTAATATTCGAATAGGGCACCTCCATAATAGAAGTGAGAGAGCGAAAATATGAATAAAACATAAACAAGGATAAGGAAACGCGGAAGGAGAGAAGGGAAAGGAAGGGAAAAGTACAGAAAGCAATAAAGAAAGAAGAAAGACGGAATAAAAGACAAACGAAAGGAAAGGAGGAACAAAGGGGGAAAAGGCTAAAAATAAATAAAGGATAACAAAGAAGAAATGATGAAAGTAACAGAGAAGGATACGAATAAATAAAAGAGGTCTAACTAAGAAAGGGGACAGACATGTACTGGAGGGAAGAAACTTTTGTGAAGAAATAAACATTTCCAGCAGATGTAGGGAAAGGAACGTGGAAATCCAAATCACGAAGATTATGGGAAAGAGAATACGGGAAGATACAACGAAACCTGCTCAAAGAGGAAAGGTTCTACAGGCGATATCAAACTGGAAATTAAAAGTTCATTTTATATATTCGCTTTTCAAAGTATATGCATTTACTTTCTGCAACTTATTCAGTTGTGATGGTGTCTGAGAGGATATTTTTTTCAATAAAATAATAAGAAATTATTAAACGACTGTCGTAACCTCCCAGTATTTAAAACAGAGCTATTTTATAAACGTGACACTTGTTGCAAATGCCATATTTTGCACTGATACTCATAACATGAGCTTCATGAGGAATACAGGGTGGACCCAATGGATGGGTTTCATAAACGTAGATATTGCCCCTTTATAAACATTAACTGTTGAGCTTGGCTGTGTCGTGTCAATGGAATGTTTTTACCACGTGCTGTGTCACTTTGAACTGTAAATTCATTAAACAGACATTTTGAGAGACCAATAAACGCAATACTGCGTGAAGCAAACATACACTGGGGTACAGTCTGTGACAGACATATGGAAAATACATTAAAATGGTGTCAGAACTATTTTTTTTTTTCGTTGGCACTACAGCCTCAGTGGGCCTAAGCCTGCCTCCATGAACTTCTCCGTTCACTTCGGTTTTTCTAGATCTTACACATTCGGTAGGACTCCTTGGGCGGGTGATCAGCTCGTCGCAAGGCCTCTACCTGTATACAAACACAGAAAGAAGGCAACACACAAACTAAATATCTATGCCCTGAGTGGGATTCGAACCCACAATCCCGGTTTCCAAGCGAGCTAAGACAGTACATGCCGTCAGAACTATTAGTCGAGTAAAAAATATCTAAATTTCTGAATTAACAACTCATTAACTAGCATGTTCGAAAAAAATATATAAATTTTAAATTTATATGGTTCAACTATTAATGAATGAGGGTACTATTTGATGTCAAACATAATTTTATTTATTCAATTATTTTACACATTTTTGCTTACGATTCTACCTCCGAAAGTAAAGATAGGTATATTATGGCATCACGCCAGTAAATCCGTTACTTTCTTACCTCAGCTACGTTTTGACACAGGCAATGAATTTCATGAAACTTGTTACAAACTTCGTACCACCAGAGGTCACCCCACATCTATATCTTCAAATTACCTATACACAATAATATAAATATGGCGACCATGTGTTAGTCTGGGCGGGGAGTGTGTTACAGTGGAAACAGTTGTTAGGAACTGATCACCCAATTGTGTCATCAGGTACAATTAATCCTGGAACGGCTGGATTTCTTATAAATAATGTATCAAAAATTCAGCTCGTATCTCACACGATGCACACTGTGTCTGCGCTACAAAGATCAACCGGATAATGTTGTTAAAGGGTAAAGTTATCCGTGTTTAATAAGCATTACACCATAAAGGCGTATGGGGGAGTGAGCGTATAGATCCACATTTTCTTGACCTAGGCACTTGCTGGGGGTGAGTGGTCAGCTTCACGCCTCGGCCGCTGTACCCGCGTGGATAGAACCTCGGTACTCATTGGGTAGGAGGTTGAGTGGACCCCAGAGCTGATCTGGAAGACATATTGAAGAGAAAATTCTTGACCCTACAAGGACTCGAACTCCGACCTTTCGGTCTAGCCCGTAGCTAGTCGCTATAACGACTACGCTATGCCGACTAACGGTTAATACTGTTTGGGAGTAAAAAGTTGCTGTTTACTGTGAGAGCAATGCGAAATACACAAATGTACTCTTTAGGCAGAGAGCAGGGTTAATGTGTTGAAGCAGGTTGTAAGTGTATGACCGCTGCGCCTTGAATTTTTAAAGTAGTCACAGAACCTGGCATAATTCGCGGTAGCGTCATAACTGAGACGTACCATAATGTTGGTAACATTATCATGAAGTGTGTAACTTAGTGAATAATGAGAAGTTTCATAACTTATTCTCTTCTCTAAGTACATATAATTAGAATGATCAGGTCAAGGAGGATGAGATGGACAGGTTATGTAGCATGAATGTGGGAGAAAATGAATGCATACAGGATATTGGTGGGAAAGCCAGAAGGAAAGAGACCACTAGGAAGACCTAGATGTAGATGAGTTGACAATATTAAAATGGATCTCAGAGAAATGGATTGGATTGATCTGACTCAGGATAGGGACCAGTTGAGGGCTCTTGTGAACACGGTAATGAACCATAAAATGGTGGGAAGTTCTTGAGTGGCTGCACAATTGGCGGCTTCTCAAGAAGGGCTCGGCTCCATAGTTAACGTAATGTGTAACTTAGTGATCTGGTACAATTGGAGGTTACTGTGGGGCACCAAGAAATACGTGAAGAGATACAACTAGAACGGATCGCGGTTATATATGTTCTGAGATTGGAAGACGTAAGTTTCATAGCTTTGGTGTTAGCGATGTTGAACTTAGATAATTCTGCCATAAGTAGTTACACAAATACGTACTTCCTGCCTGCCTTCCTCCATCCCTTCCCCTCAGCTCTACATCTCAGGGGGAGCTTTGGCCTCCTGAACAATCTGTCTCTATGCTTCTCTACTGCATCCGAGGCTGATTATCTTGATTTTGTACCGTTTAGTTTTTACGGTGTCCGGTTGCTAGTCTCACGCCGAACCCCCAACCTGGAGGACCAGGGTGTCCCTCTTTGTCTGGCTCATACCCTTGACCTGTCTGTCATGGGTGGCCCTACCAGTAACTACGCTACCGCCGGCATAGCTCTCAGGGTCTCGGTAGCACTCAAACCCCACCACCACAATAAGGTGGAGACACCATCGGTGGGGAGTCTTTTATTGCTAGTGGGGTGGGACTAAGTCCCTTGTACTGAGGCCACTTCTGGCCTATTGTACCAGCCCCAGATGATAGGTGAGGGTGATTGTGGTGCAACTGGTGGAATGAAGATTGGCAGGGGAAACCGAAGCACTCGGAGAAAACCTGCCCCAGCGCCACTTTGTCCATCACAAATCCCGCTTGACCAGACCTGGGATCGAACCCGGGCCACCGCGGTGGGAAACCAGCGACTAACCGCTTGAGCTATGGCGCGGCCTCGGTGGGGAGTTACACAAATACTTAGTTTTATAAATCGTTAGTTCATTATTTACGTAGTTAGATAATCAGTCACGTAATTACTTGATATATATGTGTATATAATTATTTTAATTTCCAATGAGCCAACTGCTCAAGTAATCAGTAATTTCCTCAGTCACTTAGTTAATCGGTTATTATTTTTGTTTTCCCTTGGCACTACAGCCCCAGTGGGCCTTGACCTACCTCCATGAATTTTATTAGTTAATTACATAGTATTCTGGTCAGTCAAATGATTGGTTAACTAGCTCATCACTTCGTTAACCAATTTTTGAATTAGTTATTCCGCTAGATTATTAGACGGTAGTTCATTAAACTGCTACTCAGTTAACCAGTCAATCAGTATCTTAGTTTATCAGCGTGTTACTTGATTACTTTGTAATTTAGTTATCGATCCTTATGGAACCGCATTTACGCTGGACACACTGTAAGCTGTGCTCGCGAATTTAACGTAGATGTTTCCTTTCTTCGTGTTTCGTGTTTCACTATACGGCCCTTGCAGAATTTCATGATCGGGTCGTCTGTCAGCTGAGTCGCGCAGTCTGTCAGCAGCAAACAAAGCCCCCAGAATAACAGCGCTCAGACCGAATGTTAACTAAACAGTACCTCAATTCACAATTTGACGCTTGTTGTTGTTTCATTCTGAAGTTATTTCTAAACCGAAAGCTCTGTTTATTTGATTCCGGGCACAAGGGTAGTTTGATGTTCTCTTCCACATTTCCAAGAATTAAATTACTACACGCAAGCAGTCACTGTTAAAAAGTTACTGTTTACAAACATTCCCAGGATATTTACGAACCTAGAAAACAAAGTAACTGCGAGGAATATCCCGCAAAGCTGACATTCACGCAGCGGGTCACGAAATTCCCGACTTTCAAGTAACCTGCGAGTTAATTTTACTGTTCACAAAATCCAGTCTTTTCACTGTATTCCTAGCCATTTGAATCCGTTTCAAAACTTCAAACTTTATTTCTCCAAGATACAACATATCAATATGGTCGTCTCTTGTAGGTCTACATCTTCCAAGAAGTCTCGTTCTTCGGGATACTCAACTAAGTTGGATGCATTACTCATCTCCAAAATGCGTGCTGTATGGTTCACTCGTTTCATTCTCCTGCATTTGGTCACCCTGTCAATAATGTGAACTGTTTCATTATGTAATTTCCTGCATTCTGCTCTTACTGGTACAGTGCGTTCAATGATAG